CCCCCCCCCCCCCCCCCCCCGCAAAGGGTGGCGTTGAAAAATTTTCCGCTCCTTAGGGGGGCGGCAGCTTCAGAAAGGTTGAGAATCACTGGTTTAAATGGTACATCAGTGATCTTTATTACAGTCATAGACCAGTACAAAGACATGAATTTATAAAACAAAAATAGTCATACTTAAAATACTGACAACTTATAGTAGCAGGCATATATATTAAAATACACTTGTTACCTATTCAACTCAACAAATGAGGTCTAGGATGTAGCCTATATTATCTATCCTAACTATGTACGGATTAAAAGTATATTAAATGTGAAGTATAAAACTTAAAAATCTGCATTGTGACTATGCTATATGTAAAAGTATATATAGGCAAAATTATACAAAATTTACTATGATATACAGGCCATTACAGAGGATAGCCTTTCTTAGCTTTTGAAGTATAAAACTTAAAAATCTGCATTGTGACTATGCTATATGTAAAAGTATATATAGGCAAAATTATACAAAATTTACTATGATATACAGGCCATTACAGAGGATAGCCTTTCTTAGCTTTTGATCTCTTGATGAGGTGGATCTTCATTGCTGCTGTTCTACATCAGTTGTAGATGCAGGACTCCCAAACCTATTGAGATCAGAGAAGATAGAAATGGATAGAAGTTGCCCCCCCCTTACTCCTATTCGTATGCCAGTCTCACACAGGCCCTTTCCAACAAGGAAAAAGAAGACACAATGGCACAATACAGATTCAAAAAGATGTTTAATCTGATTATGGGTCACAAACTTTAGGTGAGTTGGAGCAAGGATGCTGAGTAATAGCGTCTCCTGATGGCCATTGTCACCTTTGCAATTTTTCTTTGCTGCTTCCGCTATTGTTACTTTAGCTATTGTTAATTTAGTGAGTTTAGTTAGTTAGTTAGTTAGTTAGTTAGTTAGTTAAGCTATTGTTAGTTTAGCTATTCGGTTTTGTCACTTTATTGGCTATCAGAAGGAAATGCAAGCAGCCCAGAGGCTCACCAGATTAAAGCAGCATATAAATCCCAGTAAAAAACATAAAATCTGAGTTCAAGGTAACTCAATATGAGCCCCGACAAGCAATGAATACACAAATACACACACACGTAC